CGCTTAAGCCCAGGAATTAGAGGTTGCTGTGAGCTGTGATGCCACAGCACTCTACCCAGGGCAACAGCTTGAGGCTCTGTCTCAAAAAAAGAACAAAAACCAAAAAACATGATGTCTGCAATTTATTCTCAGTGAAAGAGAATTAAATATATGTATGACAAACACTGAGCACATAATAATCACCAAAGGAAACATGGGAACATTAACACTAAGTGAAGGGCATATATTCTTGTAAATTTTCTGTAAGTTTGAATTGTTTGGTCAAAATAAAATGAAGGAGTTAACAAATGAACGAGTAAACAGACACATACACATAATAAATATCTGTACCTTAAATGTAAAGAGCCAGATCCCCCGACCTCCCTTAATATGACCTTTTGGTACCACTTCTAGATGCACATCTAACAAACTAACTTCTAGACTCATGACCTATGAGTTACAGACACGATTGGAGCAAGGAAAGATCTCTATTTCCCTTTCCTCAAATCTCCCTTAGTTTCAACAGTAATCAGATTACAAAGGCCATACAGATTGGCCATTATGTTTAAACAAACAAGTGACAGAGGATCCAAAACATTTCTACTGGAAGACAATGGGCCAAACTTGCCCCTATGTGCAGCATACACAGTAAAGCCAGGTATCTGAGGTAGGAGAAAATATATTTTCATTAGTGGGCATCTTCAATAGATTATTTTGTAGAAAATTATGCCAGGACTTCCAACTTCTCTTCTCTTCTGGGAAAAACATCTCTGTACTGGGCAGACACCTTTCTATATGGACTTGTATGGATGGGTATTACATATGCTGGAAGCTAGCCTACATTCAGTTTCTCTACACCTTTCTCTATATTTGAAAAATATACTAATACTTTGAAAGAAGGCAGTTACATGAAACATGTGAAACAGATAGAATGAAAAATATGGCGTGACTTATTTTTTTTGAGACAAGAGTCTCACTATGTTGCCCTTGGTGGAGTGCTATAGCATCACAGCTCACAGCAACCTCAAACTCTTGGGCTCAAGCAATTCTTTTGCCTCAGTCTCCCAAGTATCTGGGACTATAGGAGCCCACCACAACACCTGCCTTTTTTTTTAGTTGTAGTTGTCATTGTTGTTTAGCAGGCTCAGGCTGGCCTTGGTGTATGTGGTTGCCACCCGACTCACTGAGCTACTGGTGCAGAGCCAACTTTTTTTTCTTTTGAGACAGAGTGTCACTTCGTCACCTTTGGTAGAGAGCTGTGGCTTCATAGCTCACAGCAACCTCAAACTCTTGGGCTCAAGTGATCCCCTTACCTCAGCCTCCTGAGTAGCTGGGACTACAGGTGACTGCCATAACACCCGGCTATTATTTATTTATTTATTTATTTGGAGACAGAGCTTCAAGCTGTCCCCCTGGGTAGAGTGCTGTAGCATCACAGCTCACAGCAACCTTCAACTCCTGTGCTCAAGCGAGTCTCCTGCCTCAGCCTCCCAAGTAGCTGGGACCACAGGGGCCCTCCACAACACCCGGCTATTTTTTGGTTGCAGCCATCATTGTTTTGGTGGGCCCGGGCTGGATTTGAACCT